AGGGCTGGGTCCGATTCGACGCGCTGAGGGCGACCGACTCTCGATCTCTGGACCAGTGAGGGCGAGGCCCGATTCGACGCGCTGAGGATGCCTCCAGGTCTCCGAACCAGGGAGGGCGGGTCCCGATTCGACACGCTGAGGGCGACCGACTCTCGGTCTCTGGACCTGGAGGATTCACGTGCAGGAGAGAGCGGATAATTGCGCCGGCGAAAGCGTAGTCAATATGTGCAATTGGCACGCTTTTGTGTGTACAAACCACGGGTCCGCCGGCTTGGGGCGTTTTCAGGGGTTGCTTGGTGTTGGAGCTCAATATCCAGACGACATGAAAAGGTGAAGTCAACTGCGTCGTGCAGATGAAACGAAACGGCTACAATTCACCGCCGGGTCCCAGAAGCTGCCGACCCACTGAAGCGTCGCCAACCGAGCCCTACCACCTGTTTCGAAATCGATCTCGAGCGCGTGACACTGGTCTGAGCAGAGAGAGATTGAGCTCTGCCCACTGCCCAGCCATGTGCTCCTGTCTATTGTGACCAATGTACACTCCAACTATTTACAACCGTCCTAGAATTCGTTGGTCACAATCACCCCATGACCCAAAACTTCAAGTCGCGGCAGCTTCATCGATTTCGTGGCTGAGAATTGAACACACACACTGTCTGTTTGCTGCGAAGCTCAGTTTTCTTTTTGTTTTGTTGACACGCTGAAGCTGACACTTGGTGGCTCCTCCCCAGATGGAAAGACTGCAATGAAAATGTGAGAAAAGATGGGCCTGGACCAAGCGTTTGAGCGCATCGAATGTAAAAAAAATGGCGGATATCGTGATGGGATCGCGGAAAGGAGTTACACAAACTGACCACCAAGTATATATGCAGCCCCACGTCAGATGCTGATCTACGAGTACGCCAATGGTTGTAGCGGTTGTATTGGGATATATGTTTTGGGGCCCGATATTGTAATGTTCAAATATTCTATCTTTTTGAGCGACTGCTTGGTTCCAATGAGAGCTCTAAATGTTTCGTTTGGCTTCATCTTGGGACTATTAATCCGGAACCATACTGGGATCACAGGTTGATTCCTCGACCCCGCTGCTCAGTTCAGGGAGACCGGTGAGTGTTGGTTGGAAATGATCGAGAACTTGGGTGTCGGTAGTGTAGGACAAAAATCAGCCATGGGTGAGCCAACAGGGTAGGTCGTTGATGAAGAGTAGGGGGAGCATTGGCCGAGAATGGCTCCTCCGGGCTACTCCGTGGGTCAGTGGGAGCGTACCAGAGCAGGCGCCGGCCACTGTCAGCTTACAATCACTGAGATAGCTCCAGAACCATCCCGGCTGCACGCCATCACACTCCAGTTCGTCCGGGAGGACGCCGTGGTCGACGCCGTCCAAAGCTTTCAAGGACTTTGGAAGTCCGCTGAATCCATCGGAGCGAGCTCTCCGAGACACACAAGATGCCAAGCTGCTGCTGTTTTAAAATAATGTTCATCTCGTCAAGTCGGGGAGTAAGTGACCTGGTATTTACGAGGTCGAAGCTGGAGCTGAGACGGCAGCGCTGGGGAGACGCCAGCGGCTGCGGGCCTGAATCGCCGGTGCTGCCGCAGGCTCCTCCGGGGTCACGTCACCAGCAGCCTCCTCCATGTCGCCGGTGCTGCCGCAGGCTCCTCCCGGGTCACGTCACCATCGGCCGCCTCCATGTCGCCAGTGCTGCCGCAGGCTCCTCCGGGGTCACATCACCAGCAGCCTCTTCCATGTCGCCGCGGTGCCAGCGCCGGCCCGGTGACGAGTCACGCAGGAACCACGCCGAGCGGTCGCCCCGCTGACGGCGCCCGGGAATAGCCCCGCTGACGACACCCGGGAACAGCCTCGCTGACGACGCCTGGGAGCAGCCCCGCTGACGACGCCCGGGAACGTTGCTGCTGCCTCGACGGACTCGGCTGTCAGCCTGCGATCCGCAGCTGCCGCTCCGCTGACGATAGTCGGGATGTGTCACCAGCAACTGCCTCTTCCGGAGGTCACCAGTGCACGAAGTGCCACTTTCTCAAACGGGAGTGGCCTAAGGACGGACTCGCCACCTCGACAGATGGCACCATCGCCTTTGCTCAGCAGTCTGCTAATCCCTCACAGAGCCCGCAGAATGATGTTCATGGTTTGAAAAAGTTGCGGGGGGGTAGACTTGAACCAGGATCTCTCGCCTACAAGTCGACCGCGCTGCCCGTGCACCAGGGGACGTGGCGCACTTTGCGTCGCGGAGGCCGACGGAGACTTGGCGATGCCGCTGAGACCGATAGCGGATCTATGATGGCGCCTGGCTGTTCCGGAGCCCGACAGCGAGTCTGTGATGGCGGCTGGCTGCTCCGGAGCCCGACAGCGGGTCTGCGATGACGTCTGGCTTGACGCGTGTAGGCGAGCGAGACAAAGGACCACACAATTTGGTAAGAACTCACTGATTTCTTGCTCCTTCGGTGAGCCGGTCACACAGCAGGTGGTTACTGTTCCTAAATAAGAACTGATGCTACAACTGATGCTACTTATGGGGAGAGAGAACACTATGAGCTAACGTGAACACTTCACAATCGAGAGAGGAGGCAGCGTCCAGCGCGCCGCACGCCGCAAGAGAAAATTCAGTGAAAATGGACGGACATTTGTGGATCTAAGCAATACTACTGGTGGGTACATTTTAAGATTTGATCAAAACATTTTAATTGGACGATTTTCTGGGATCAGAGCTCACGCTAAGTCGTGCTCGTTGGGTAAAAAGTTACTCCTACCAGGGGTCACAAATTCTAGGGCAGTGACATAATTTGGTGGTGGGCGTTTATATGTCGCACTGCTCGGCACAATACGCCCTGTCCTTCGCCGTCACCTGACCTTTACGTGGCCGCTGCCATCCTCCGTGAGCCATGCCTGCCAAGGTCAAATAGCAAGCGCCTAAAGCGTCTCGAGCCCACCCCGTCATGGATGCATGGATCAGCAGGTACGCGCTCTAACCATCTGACCTTCACCAAAATATCCTTTTGCCCCAGACAAATTAAGCAATTATTTTCATTAACGTCATTTCAATGACGCCTTGTCACACAACATGCAGCGAAAGAATGCGCAGCTATGCCATCAAATGAGCATAACACACATCCATATATGTGGTGGCCTCTCCAATCCACGCATGAAAGGCGCACTAGCCTTCTGGCCTTCGTGTCGGCTCTCGTCAAGAGCCGTCTGGGAGACCCAGTCACACCACACTGGGACTGCACTGGAGAGGGTGGGCAGCTGTCCATCCTCCCGCAGGGCAATTCAGCCGATTTCAACCTTGTCCGCAGAGCAAACACGCGGATGCGGCGAAGTTTTCAGCAAGTTCACCGGGGCAACACACGAGCAATGCTAAAGCCCTCAAAGGGTTTGGCGTGAGCGATGTGGAGAGCGAAGCAGGCCACAGAGTGAACTCAGCACAGCGGACCGTACTCCGTCCTGTATTTGCGGGGTACGCAGGACCCTGAGGAGGCCCGTGTTTCGCTCCAGTCGCGGCAGTCTTGACTGCTGATTAAGGCAGATACCTGCCAGGCCTTCGTGTGCTCCGCATCCGCTGTTTTTGTGAACTGGCGTTGTTTGAATCGGTGATGTTTTTTGTGAATTTACACACCAGTGCCATATTAGTGGATCCCTGCATTTGGAACTTTCTTGAAATGTGGACCGCCTTGATCGAACACATTGGTATCGCTTCACAAAGGTCTGACTCTATCAAGGCCTGGTTCAAAGGCCTGGTTCAAAGGTCTGGTTCAACGGTCTGGTTCAATACCACAGTCTGACTTGTAGCCAGGCACTTCGGTGAAGGGCTTTCACCTCTGCTTTTTTTGGTATCATCTGCGTGATAAACATCTCACAGCTTCACCGCCTGACCGTGCCTCGCTCCTCCCTCGCCGGGCTTGGTGTCTTGCAAACGTTTGACATGGTTAGGAGCATTCAACACCGAATAGTTGATCGACACATTGAACACGGTTAAAACGAGAACAGAGGCATCTTAATCAAAACCTTCTACTCTGTGACTGCTGTCATGTTGTTGGTCTCCGACCGTGGTGACGCCGGCCGCGCTGATGTTGCCACGCCCAGCTGGCTTCGACCAGCCACGTCCGGCCCGAGGCACACACGAAGGACGGACGCTCAGCCTACCGTATCACATGTATTGCGACTGGCCCCGCGCCGACGCTGTCAGCCGAAGGACGATCGTCTCACACCCTCTGAGAAGGGCAAACGGGAAACATCCGAGACGAACAAGCGTCAGCCAATCAGACACCGAGACGAATCAGCGTCAGCCAATCAGACACCCGTGAGATTCGGAGGGCGAGTACCTCTCACCTGTACACGAGATCTCTCGGCAGTAGCATCACATAACTCGCACTAGGGTGAGGCGCGAGTTTCTATCACTGTTCTGTAACAATACGGCGCGAACGCGCGTGTCATCAGATGATCATAGTCTCTACAATGCGTTGAGATATACGCACACACAAATAAATACATACATGAAATACAAAAGGGGCGAAATAACACGTAGGGATGAGCCAGTCAGCTCACCGTCTGTCCATTGGAGTGCAAACCAGCCGGCCTGCATCCAAAAGGACAGCACCGCATGCTTAGGTCGGCGAAGAGTGAAGTGCCACACCATGCGGGGACCAGTCTGTGTCCAGTAAATTATACGCCGCTGATTGCAACAGGCTGTGCTGATGCCAGCACTCTGATGTGGCAGAAGGGTCGATCAGACCTTTGCGTGCCCGCTCGTCGTTGTCCACGTCGTCGTCCAGTTTGTTCGGCACGGATCGATAACTGACCCCATCGGGCAGCCGTGTACCTCACCGAGCCGAGGCTCCGCAGCAGTCGGTATGGCCCGCCTCCCCCTCCCCCCGCCCCTTCCTACCGCCTCCACTGCGGCTCGCCGCGCATGGCCCGGCCACAGCCTGATCCGGGGCGCTCGACCACCGGCCCTGGCCGCGCCCCGCCCCGCAGCGGTCCGCACCGTCTACTGTGCGCCGCCGTCCGGCCGCGGCGCGTGGCCCGGCGGCGCCACACTGCCGGGGTCCGACGTGCGCGAGCACTCGAGCACGGGGCTGAGCGCCGGCTGCTCGACCGCCGCCGCCGGCAGGTGGCTCTCGACCGCCGAGTCCTGCGACGACTTGCGACCACCGCGGATGGACGACATCTCGAGCAGCGTGTTGGCGCTGCGCGGCTGCGTCAGCCCGCTGCGCGAGCCGTCCGACAGCTGAGGCAGCAGGTGGCGCGAGCGCGTGGCGCGACCGCCGCTGCCGCGTGACACCGGTGGCCGACACAGCGAACGGCGCCCCAGTAGCCGCAGCAGCTCCTGCCGGAACTGCTTGGTGAAGATGGCGTACAGGTAAGGATTGGCGCACGCGTTCAGCGGGTAGAAAAAGACCAGCAGGATCTTGGAGTTGGTGACGCTGATGAGTGGCACGCCCATGATGGCCGTGACGCCGAAGAACGCGATCGGCGCCCAGCACGCGAAGTCGGTGAAGACGAGCAGCGCCATCCGCTTCGCCACCTGGAAAAGCGGCGAAGTGCGAGCAGCTCTCGAAGCGTTGGAGGAGCATTCCACCGGTGACCCCCACAAACCACTCCTTCGATCATTGTTATCGCAGTCCACCGTTTACTGCAGGTCCGTGCTGTGTCTTGGGACTCAACGTTTCGTTCAACACCTTAGGTCATGTAGCGTCGAAATATCGCATGATGGCATCCGCGACGAGGGAGGAGAGGGAGGGGGAGGAGAGAGCACAGACCCAATGTATCGAATGACTCTTGGGCACACCGTACAATGTCAGTCCCTATTTAGGCAGATACGTGATTTGAATGACTTATGAAGATGCGCAGCTGGAAACGGCATGTATGCGGCATGAGGTAGCATCAAACACGAGCATCACCAAAACTGCCAGCCACTGCGTTCACCCAGTCGACCACGTGACCAACCTTCAGGTCGTTAGGCCGCACCAGGCCCCTCTCCACGTGTGAAATGCTGCAGTACATCCTCAGGTAGAACCAGGAGATGAGCAGGAAGGCTGCCCCGTTGCCGAGCAGCAGCAGCAGCAGGAATGCGATGCCGGCCCTGTCAGTCGCGTCCCGCGCCATCGGCAGGCATATGCTGCGGAGCGGACGGTCGCGAGGCAGCCAGTCACCTCAGGTACATCCTCAGACAGCCGTTGAAGCCGTACAGGTATCTAAAACGAGTCGGCTATGGTGGATGGCTCTGTCACATTGACGCATTGCAATGTGTGTTTTGAACGGTGTCCGCAGTGGCTTCCCCACAGCAGACTGTCCCATCGGCCCTCTTTGAAGCCCGTCGAGGCCAGTTCTCCCGGGCAATCTCTCATGGTCGTTTCTCGGGACACCCTCCCAATCCTGACGAGATTATCATCAGGGGAGAAATGGCCGGTTGCTTAGCGACTTCGGTTTCCACGTGGGGGCCCAAGTTCAAATCTAGGTTGTGCCAAGGTTCCTGGGCGCTTATACGATCCTGCAATTGCTGGTGCTCCATACAAGTGTGCGCAGCGATGTACGTCGGTTCCACTTGAAAACTATCAGGGACGTAGCCTCAAGCCATCTCATTGGGTCTCCTTCTCGTGGCTGCCACGACGCAGTCCCAATATTGTCTCCCTGGGCTATCCTTTAAGACCTTCCGAAATGACTCCGGACAGTCTCTCCGGGCGGTCCTCTAACACTCCTTTGAATACAGCCTCATGCACGTCTCCCCGGTGCGTCTTCTCGGAACCACCTGGCAGGCACGCCGACATCAGCCTCCTTGGGTCGTCTTCTTGGGTAATCATCTCAAACCTGTGAAGGCCTTATTCATTACGTCTCCCCAGGTCTTGCCGATGACATAGCTTCTCGGGTCCTTGGGGATTCCGCATTTCCCTGTGCAACATCTCTCACCCACGCAAAGCGAAATTGCGCGAGCACCTAACTTGAATCACGTTAAAAAACGCAAGCAACCTTGGTGAAAGTACTAAACTTAAAGGAAAACCACCAAATCGAAAGTACGAAAACCAAATGAACGGTACGAAACCAATCAAACACAGGCGGATTCCATTAATTCCCATCGATTCGTGCCTCTCATTCTAAGCTTCCAGACCCTTAACAGATGCACCCGCACGCAATTACTGCATACGTAAATAGTTTAAAATCCAAGGTTAATTTCCCTTGCCCAACCCACGATCCGTGCGGTCTTAGCCATAACCACCCTCTTCCAATCGCCCAGCAATGCTGCGCACGAGTTAATCGCTCTTTTTAGAGTTGCCAACATTTTCGCTGCAAGTTGTAAAAATAAAGCTGACAAAGTTTCGCTGCTGCGATTGCCGCTTTTGGTTTGAACAACCAACAACAAATATCACGTGAGATTATGTTATTGCAAGGAACAACAAAAGAGAAAATGGCACTGTTTCGCGAAACCTCTTGCAATGACCGCCATACCAACCCGTCATCTTCTCCAACGCGGCCCATTGTCCGTTCCATGGGTTACCAACGCGCTCACGCAGCCGCAAGGACATAAATGGTGCGATTGAAACCCAGTGGGGTTTGCTACACGCCTTCCATTGCTCTTGCTCAGGGCTAGCTGGAAATGGTTTACGGCGTGTCGCCTGGAGCTGTCGTTACCAACGCCCCCTATCGGCCGCCACAGCTTTCTACCAGCGTATTGTATAACAACGTAAACATTTTGTTTTGCTTTACTCGTGGCAGCGGCCACCACGCTGAGTCATCTTGATCCTTCGCGAAATTGGTCGATCATCTGCCACATTCTCAGCCTTCGTTTCAGTCCCATCAGCTCTGTCCACATCACCGAGCTCTTTCTTTTGTTTTTGTGTGCTGGCGCTCGATTTAGCCAATAACTTTGCTATATCTTCTGTCCTTCTGTTTTTCGCCTTTTCACGCCCCTCTCCTTTTCTCCAGCGTTCTTATTTGCTTGTGTTGTTACCATATTACCCCACGCATGACGTCATTACGTCACCAGACCTCCCTTCCCGCGGGAGCCAACGAGGCTTATTTCCGCCTATCCCGCTTACAATCAAGACGCCTGGCCCGGGGGCTCATTAGCCAGACACCAGTCATTCTCCGCCTCCGGCCAGTCGGTTCCCAAGCCGGGTCACACAGTGTGGTCGGCATAACCAGCTCCGAGGCGTCGGAATGCAGGTCCATACGACTGCAGTGTTTTTGGGTACAATGTGGAGACAATTTTAAGCGATGAATTTGTGACAGCTCAGCATCACGGATAGGAGTATGCACATAAAACAAAACGTAGTTCCACTCTTCATTTATCGTTTTGTTGTAAGATGTCCTCGCGTTGTGTTTTACGTTATAATTTACTTAAGCGCTTAATGAATTAACTCGTTATGTATTAAAACACGACAAATTCTTGTCTTCATCTCTCCAAGACTGCTTTATTTCCTTCTTTAAAAAATACACCGTCGCGCGGGCGGCCCCCGTGCACAACAGATCCTCCTTAACACTCCCCCGACCCTGAATGACCCCTCTCGTCATTTGGAACATCACTTTTACATCCCCCGTGAGAACATCACTGCTCCATTTCCAAGCGGATGATTTGGTGACTGGCCTCTTGAATAGTCCCTTTGACGTCTTCACATCAACCACTCTGACCACGCAATCTGGTCCTGGATACGTCTTCTCGACTCGCGCCATCGGCCAGGTTCCTCGCGGCACATTGGGATCAATAAGCAGAACCACTTCTCCTTCGCGCAGTTTCCTCCTGACTTCAGTCCATTTCTATCGCGCTTGCAGAGTCGGCAGGTATTCACGTACCCAGCGACGCCAGAACTCTGTGCTAAGCTGCTGCAACCGTCTCCAGCACTGTTGGAGGGCTGCAACTATCTGTGCTCGTCAAAGGTGTCATCTCAACTCTTGATCGGCCCGTGATGAATTCTCCCGGTGTCAGCGGCGGCAGGTCGCTTGGATCAGACGAGACAGCTGTCAATGGGCGGGTGTTGAGCAGTCCTTCAGCTCTGCAGAGCGCTGTGCTCAGCTCCCCATCGGCGAGATTTGCTCGTTCCAAAGTCTTCACCAGCGCCTTCTTGGCCACCTTGACCAACGCTGCACACACTCCATTGAAATGGGGTGCGCCAGGAAGATTGAAGACCCACTTCGTGGGGTATTTCGAGAGCTCCCTTTGAATCGTATCGATGTTGAACCCATGAACTTCTCTCTTCAGTTCCTTAGCGGCCCTCAAAAAGTTTCTCCCGTCGTCGGATCTGATCTCGGCTGGTCGACCTCGGCGCGAGATGAACCGCATTAGAGCGCGTATGAAGCTGGCGGTGTCCAGTGAGTAGGCCATCTCCAGATGCACAGCCTTGGTTTGCAGGCAGACAAAAATGCAAAGGTAGCGCTTTTGTCGCGTCTTCCCTCGTCCCTGCTTTGTCCAGAATGGTCCGGCATAGTCAACAGCACATCTGTCGAAGGTTCGGAGAGACGGACGGACGGACGGACGGAGAGACGGACGGAGAGACGGACGGAGAGACGGACGGAGAGACGGACGGAGAGACGGACGGAGAGACGGACGGAGAGACGGACGGAGAGACGGACGCACCCGTGCATCTATCATCGGCGCCATTTACTGTGTTTCTGGCTTCTTCTGTAACCTCTGACACGTAACGCACCTGCGTGCGCAAAGACTATAATCTCTCTCGCTGCAGGAATCCAAAACCTCGTTATCAGCTCAGCTAGGGTGTTCTCTACGCCAAGTCCGTGTTCAGCTTCTCCATGGACATGCTGGATAACCAGCCTGCTAATGACGTGCTTTTTTCGGCAGAAACATCGGGTGTTTGACTTCAAAACTTAGCTCTGATCGCTGCAGTCGGCCGCCGACCCGGATGGTCCCATCTCCATCTAAGAATGGGCTGAGCTGTTTCACAGTACTCCGGCGGCATGCTCTCTGCGGTCGTGCGCCCGACATCTTCACTTGTCGAAGCTCCTCTATTTCATCTCGGAATGCATCCTTCTGCGCTTGTTGAACCCAGATCTTCTCAGCTTCTTTTAGTTCCCCTGGGTTCAGTTCTCTGTCCGGTGGAGAGGTGCTCGTTTGAGAGATCTTCCCGCGTAGAACTCTGATGAATCTCTGCACACAGGCTGTAACTCTCAACAGTCTTGTCCAGCTTGAGAAGTTTGCCGGGTTTAGCCGCCAGCTGGGACCCGACGGAGCTCGTACAGTAAACACATTATTCTGCTGGTCCTTCTTGATCTCAGACTGGTTGAACTCTTCTGTGGCGAATTCTTTCTTCCGTGGCCATCCGCTTTCGTCTCTCAGCAGGAACTTGGCTCCATGCCACCACAGCTGACTCTCCGAAATATCCTTTAAAGTCAAGCCCCTGGTGGATGCGTCCGCCGGCTCGTCTGACCCTGGCACGTGCTGCCACTGCTTGGGTGTTGTCAGCTCATGAATCCCTGATGCCCTGTGAGCGACAAACGGCTGAAAACGGCAGATTTCATTTCGAATCTAGCATAGCACGTCCATCGAGTCAGACCAAAATTGCACGTCTTCAATTTTCTCTCCCATTGCCGTGCACAGCGTCTTCACAAGTCTTAATCCCAGCAGTGCGCCCATCAGCTCCAGTCTTGGGATTGTCTGCTTCGTCGCTAGCGGCGCCACCCTCGCGCGTGCCAGCGCGAGCTGAGAGGATCGTTCGCTGCCACTTTCGGACACGACGTAGATGGCTGCGCCATATGCTTGTTCTGACGCGTCACAGAACACGCGAATCTCCTGAAGGGTGACCTCTGAGAAAGGATGAGTGCAGCGCGGCACCGAGAGACTGCTGAGCTGCTGCAGGTCGACAAACCACTCAGACCACTTCAGCTTCTGGTCGCCCGGCAGTATGTCATCCCAGTCTGCTCCGCTGATCCATGTCTGCTGAAACAGCATCTTTGGTCGAATGGTGAGTGGCACGAACAGGCCTAGTGGGTCGAAGACAGAAGCCATCTCCCTCAGACATGTCCTTTTGGTCAAGTTTTCAGACAGGATTTCTCGTTTTGACGTGTCTAGGGAGAGGCGGTCTTCATTTGTTGTCCAAACTACTCCAAGAGTCTTTCGTCGGCACCGAGCCCTGATCTTCAAAGAAGTGGCGCGAGCTGATAGCTCTATCCTCGACGGGGATCGCTTTCAGCACTTCCGCATTGTTTGACACCCCCTTCTAATCTTCATCCCACCATCTTCGAGAATACTGCTGACCTGCTTCCTAACTTCGATGGCCTCCTGTTCTATCCTGAACGATTGAATGCCCGTCATCCATGGTAGAAGTGCTTCAGCAGCATATCGGAACCTAGTGGATACTTTTCTGCATGTTTTTCGAGCGTTTTCTTTCAGTATGAACTGTGCGACGAATGGAGCGGCCGCGTTCCCAAACAGCCAGAGGTTTGCTTCGTATACTGTGGGCCCCTCGTCCTTCATATTTCGCCACAGCACTCGGTGGTTTTTCTGCCATCTGACGCGATCTCAACTTGTAAAAACATCTCGCAGACGTCGCCAATTAGCGCAATGCAGTGCAGCCGAAAGCCGAGCAGCGTCTCGACGAGATCGGTGTGTAGAGAGACGGCCCAGGGAGAACTTGCGAATTCAGGCTCACTGCTCGATGCTTAGCGGCTGCATCGTGCACAATCCGGATTTTTGTTGGCGCCTTCTCCTCTCGGATGACTGGAAAATGTGGCAGGAACCACTCCTTCTCGCTGATGTTTGTCCTTTCGGAGACGGGCACTTTTGACATGTAACCCTTCTTCACGTACTCTTCAAGAATTTCACCGCACTTGGCCGGCAGCTCGCCACCGAGTCGCTTCAGAGATTGCTCCAACCGCACAAGACGCTGCATTGTGGCGCTATAGTTGCTCATCAGCTGTGGCTCTACGTTTCTTGACGAGACCTCCGCCTGGTACCGATGACCGCTGTACGAGAGTGGCTCCGATACCTTTTTCAGCGCCCCTGCTCTTCACGTGACATGAGGCCCTCTTCTGACTCTGATTTGAATGACCTCTAAATCGGCCATTGACCTAATCGCTTCTACTTCCTCTTCACATTTTTTCTTCAGAAGTGAGTCCTCAGTGTTTTTTACACGTGAGTCACGTTCTTCCCCATCTTCAGGTCAGAGAATTCAGATCCGACGTGTTTCTCTTTGATAAAGCCGAACGCTGTCCAGCCCAGGGGAGTCAAAATTGCCACTGGGTCATAGGCAGCGCCTTTCACGGAGCTAAGCGGGACAAATAACTGAGTTGTCTCCGCACACAGACCGATGAGGATGGTCGACACTGCTGTTCTTCATATTGGGAATGGTACGGTTTTTCACATGCAGCCACCGCTTCTTCACTGTGTTGCAGTTAGTACGCACTGAAGCACCATCGAGACTTTGTATCACGTAAACATTCACTGACACTTCGTAGCTGCTGTGGAGACTTGACAACTTCACGATGCCCGTCTTCATGGTGACATCTTCTGTGCCGCTGACAGTACCCAGCTGTAGCACTTGCTCTTCTCCATCGAATTCTAGCTCACTCGCGGCAGCCTTCGTCATGAATGAGGCATCTGAGCAGGGATCAAGCAGCGCGTTAAGCACAACCGAATGATGTCCATATTGTACCACTACAAGCGCAGTCTGGACGGCTATTTTCCCACACGTCACTTTGGGTTCTGAGGTCGACGTGTTGTAGCTTGTACTGGGATTATTCAAGTTTCTCAGTGCACCGCTGGAACTGATCCAACTATTTTCACTTGCCTATCGAAATGGGTAAAGCTCTTTTACTTCAGTAACATTTTGCCATTGCACAGACTGGTTTTCACTCGGCATACGATGCAGCTACTGGTGCTGCTCCTGCTGCTGCGCGTGCAGCAAAGTGTGATGGCTTCCGCCACATCCATCAGCCGCATATCTTGGGAATGACCTGCACGTGACGCCGCGGTGCTTTCCGCTGAGGCGTCTGAAACAGATCCTTTCTGATTTACAAAATCCGTATCTTCTCGATGCATCCCAGCTTTGGAGCTCCGCGCAGTCACGCAGCAGGTGACGCGCTTGACACACATAGCAGCTTGCTTGCGCCTAACTTGCATCACGTGACTTGCTGATCTTATTCGTGGCATACGCTCTTCTTCCTCTGTTTTTTATCTCATTGCTTCTGGTTCGTCTTCTGATTTGGTCATCTCCTTCGCCCTTTTTTCAAGCCGAGCTTGTTCAGCTAGCCACTCAGCGAAGGTTTCGAAGCTGTCTTCACGGCCTGCTGTTCCTAACCATCTTTGATATTTTTTGACACATGAAGGGTGAAGTTTTTCGGCCACCAGAATGTGATAAGCCAACACATCAGACTGGCCGCTAACTGAACCTATCTCCTTCAGTGAGGTGATGAGACAGGCCACGCGATCGGCGAACTGTTCCAGGCGCTTCGTGTCTCCTTCAGCGATGCGCGAGAAGTGTCGGATTTTGTTGAGTTCGTGATGGTTTCGTCTCGTTTTTCCACCATAATTTTCTTTCAGCTGCTCTCTAGCTTTTCTGTAGCCGGCCCTCGGATGGTTTGTAGCCTTCTACGAGTTTTAGTGCTTCACCGGCTAAGCCGTTTTTCAGGTATAACATTTTAACTTCGGGTCCATTTCAGTGTCTCCAATGAATGCTTCGATAAATTAACAGCTTCCCAATCTTCGAATTGGCTGCATTTCCTTCGAACACTGGCAGCTCCGGTTGTTTTATTCCTTTCACTGTACAGGCACTTTCATTTCTCGTCTTTTCAGTGGCATTATTGTCCTGTTTTCTTTGATACCATCACCATCAGGTCGTCACAGGCGTCGGTAAATTGATACGTTCCTTCCACAAATATCGCAGCTTCTTCATCAGACTGTAAGCTGTCACAAATGTTTTCACTAACTTCCCTCATAGTCTCCAGTGGTCTTTAAGCTGCTGGCAATTGTGTTCAATGCAACTAGCTCCTTCATCTTCAGAGAAGAGTTCTTCAATCTCTTTCTTTAGCTTAACAGCCTGAGCTTTGTACGCATTCCGTTTTCTTTTTAGCTTCGGTTCGCTTATCCTCGATCCGGGTCACGCTAATAAATAAACTCGTCATGTTCTAAAATAACTTAACCGCTCTTACTATTTAAACACGACAAATTATTTGCTTCATTTCTCCAAGACTGCTTTACTTCTTTCTTTAAAAAATACACCGTAGCGCGGGCAACGCTCGTGCACAACATACAACAGGTCCTCCTTAACACGTTTAATGAATGCGTCTCCGACAAAAAAGATGCCTTTCATTGTGGAATACATTGTGTGTTGCGTCAGTGACAATATACCACGCGGCATATTCCTTGTTCTTCAGGACTTTCCAGTATCATTTGCAACGTTTGCGAGGTTCGTATATGACTACGGCTATTGTTGTGCAAACAGGGACAGCGCGCCGGGCACGGAGACTCGGGCTTCTCCAATTTGAACCCGTTAGTGTTTTCCAAAACGCCCGCAGAATTCGAACGGTCTGCCGCTTCGGCATACGTGATCTTCTCGTCTCGTCTTGAACGGTGCGTGCCGTGCATAATTTGGCGTCCACTGAGATCCCCGTCGTCTCGGTTCACGCTCGAGAAGATCCCTACTGCCGGATTTTCCGCTCGGTAGGAACAGCAGCGTGTACCGGCGAGTGTGTGAAGTGATCGTCGTTGGGGATGCCGCTGGCCGACTGACATCCCAATTACGCCGCGGGGCCCATTGGGCGACACATCACTCTGGGGAATGGCGGGCCCCGTCGCCCGTTCAGTGTGCGTCAGCAGGGCCCGCGGCGGCAGGCCGCGCGAGGCCCGCCCTGTCCTGAGGTCCTGACGCAGCACGCCTGATGGCCGTGACGCGGCACGGCCTACTGGCCCTGACGCAGCACGTCTGCTGGCCCTGACGCAGCACGCCTGCTGGCCCTGACACAGCACGCCTGCTGGCCGTGACGCAACACGCCTGCTGGCCCTGACGCAGCACGCCTGCATGGCCCTGACACAGCACGCCTGCTGGCCCTGACGGCAGCACGCCTGCTGGCCGTGACGCAGCACTACTGCTGGCCCTGACGCAGCACGCCTGCTGGCCGTGACGCAGCACGCCTGCTGGCCGGTAACGCAGCACGCCTGCTGGCCCCTGACGCAGCACGCCTGCTGGCCGCGACGGCAGCACTCCTGCTGGCCCTGACACAGCACGCCTGCTGGCCTTGACACAGCACGCCTGCTGGTCGTGACGAATTACGCCTGCTGGCCCTGACACAGCAGGCCGCTTGATGTGCCATCAACATCTTCATCCGGCCGTCTGAAACGAGGTATCACGGCGATACTGGCCAGAATGGCAGCCTCTATTGGAGTTTGAAAATCATCTAAATTTTCGAAACCTTGAAGACTTAGATCTGCTTCATGCTGTGCAAGCAGCACTGTTCAGGAACAGAACGAAAGCCAGATCAGCATCCATGCTATCTGCAATCGACTCGTGCTAAGTTTTGGACAAACGATTTACTTGCGTGGCTTGAGATAGGGGACTCAGTAGAACTCGTTTAGAAGTTGTCGATTCAAACTCGTTCTCAAACGAAGTTGAAACGGCGCCGTCTCACGTATAACTTTGATGGTCCAGCCATGTGCAAGGTCCATGCACCAGCCACTTCAGTTAGTCAACTAAACTTCAATCCTCTGCAGAAGTTATGACATGAAGTGAATCTGGTCATCGATGCTGCTAGCATTGCACGCATACAAATGTACCCACAATGCAGCGTTATTTTGTGGTACAGTTTTTAACCTGCGGTGGCCCGTGTACAGTGAAAGCACACCCACCTCCATCCTTTACTCTAAGCTTCTAGAAAATTTTTCAAACCGCTCCAGTTAGCCAAACGAAGTTTCAGCAGCTTGACACACTCTGGAGAAAAGAAAACGTTTTTTTCGTCAGGTCGCCAGATTGTAACGTCATTGGTGAAGGTTTATATGGCTGTTGATGTTTCTACCCAGGCACCAATGTGCAGCTTCCTTTCCCGTTTTGAATTGTTTTGATGTAGCCTATCGACTGGCTTGCCGCCGGCCAGGGCCAGTCGTACCGCGTGGGGCCAGACTGGGTCACTAGAAAAGTTTATGTGAGGTTAACGCATTTGCATCAAACCATAGCGAGTTGTACCGTGCCGGCCATTGTGATGCATTGCTCAGCTAACTAATACCTTATTAAAGCACTGTAGGACTATTCACAAGGGACACACAAAGACCAAGACCAAGATGACCACTGTAGGGCACATTCAGCCGCGCTCCTGTTCTAAGTGTCCGCTGCAGAGCACTACCACCGTTATTGCCTGCGCTAGGGCTTTGAAGGCGTTGAGAGGCCTGGACGGGTTTGGTTTTGTTTGCCGTAGTGCCGTCATAAGTCACGTGACAGACCGTCAGCTGATCGATATACGAGCGGGATTGGACGGGCGTGTCGTGGTCGTTTGAAATGGTTGTGATCGGACGTATGCTCCTGAGACAGTGGAGGCATGCGTACGTTTGACTTTCAGACGGCCGTGGTTGGAGCACTATCCCAAGGGGACGGGGCAGGCTTCTGCCACACGGCTGGGGGGTTTTGTCACCAAGCGCAGGGGCGAACGCAGAAGGAGTGATGGAGGTGGTTACCTGGTGCTGATAGTGCCGATGCCGACCAGGGGCAGCGTAGCCATGAAGGAGTACATCCAACCGACCACCAATCACCCTACAACGAGA